CCGGCGCTCGCGGGGGCACGCGGGACGTTACGCTCTGGCACCCCGAGCCAGGGAGGCGTGAGCAGGATGCCGACGACCTTTCTCACTTCCTTTGCAGGGGCTCCGCCTGGGCCAACACCGTCGCTCAGTATTCACAAACCATTTTCTTGTTCCTGTACATTATAGGCAAGAAACTCCACGTGAAGACCTGGGGAGGTAAGGGCATCTCCCCAGCTTCCCCCAGGTCCCACTTTACCTGAGTGTTCATGAATCTTCTACCACTTCTATCAAGTGAACTCTGTTAGTCCTGACAGTGAAATATTAATCTCAGCCCGGTACGCCCCCGGAACGCGGTGCTGCTTTGGTAGCAGCACGTCACGCGCAAGCGTTGGCAGAGCACCGCGGCGGGCAGTAAACATTAATTCTGGAGAAATGAAACTTTCTGCTGAGGCTTTGTAGGGTTCAGTGCCAAAGGATGAGCACAGACGTAGGCATGAGGTTTTCCTTAGATGCTCTGCTCCGGGCGGGATGAGCTGAGGGTAGCACCGCTCTGGGGCCCGCAGGATGGCATCAGCAGAGCTCGTACATGCACACTCTGCTGCTGGAGGTCCTATGGAGCTGAGGAGCATTGCTCTGGTGGCTCTGCAAACAGGAATGGCACCCTCCAGCTGCCTCGGGTGCTCTCGAGGATGTAACACATGGCCAGTCTGGTCATCCATCAGGTGACATTTCTCCTCTCTGCAGGCTGGTCCAGCGAGTGCCTGCTGGAGTGGGACAGCTTCACCTCCCTGGCTGTCCCCAGCATGCTCATGATGTGCATCGAGTGGTGGACCTACGAAATCGGGAGCTTCCTGATAGGTCAGCGGAGAGGGGGAGTTGTGACCCGGAGCAGCATTCGTGGCGGTCATGGGGGCTGAGAGCGGCTCTCCGCCGGGCGCCCGAACCCCGCGCTGACCCTCTCCTCTCCCCCAGGCCTGCTGAGCGTCATAGAGCTCTCCGCCCAGTCCATCATCTACGAGGTGTCCGTTGTCGCTTTCATGGTAAGGGCTGGGGGTTATTATTTCTGACCAGGGCTCCCTCGGGACAGTCCAGTACAGACACCCAGCAAAAATCAGCTCCAGCAAATCTCAGTCTTCCCCCTCTGTGCTTAAGCCTCTCCCTCCTCCTGCCTACCCCTCCTACAGGGATGTTTTAAATTAAATCCTGAACTCCGTCTCCCTCTCTGCCGGGTGGTTATTCCGCTGTTGCTGCCATGGCCCCATTGCACACGTGAGCCTCAGCCCTGTGGTTACAGATCCCCTTGGGGCTCGGCCCGGCCGCCAGCGTGCAGGTGGGGAACGCGCTGGGCGCCGGCGACGTCGAGACGGCCAAGAGATCCTCCTCCACCAGCCTGCTCTGCACAGGTCAGGCCGCCCGCGTGCCGGGAAGCCTTGGTCGGGGCTCCTTCAGGGCACAGCAGAAACAGAGAGCGTTTGCAGTTTTGCAGTTTTCTGCCCATGGCACGCACTGGTGTCCCCTGCTCTCTCCCTTCGGCGGCTCCCGAGCTCCCCATCACGGCCAGGCCAGGCTCAGCGCTTCGCTCTCTTTTTCAGGG